GGATAGAGGTGTAGTGACAGAGCGGTGTATATACAGGAGAGGATAGAGGTGTAGTGACAGAGCGGTGTATATACAGGAGAGGATAGAGGTGTAGTGACAGAGCGGTGTATATACAGGAGAGGATAGAGGTGTAGTGACAGAGCGGTGTATATACAGAAGGAGATGGAAAAAACAAAACTCCAGCATGAGATGAACACACCACAACACTAGACCTTACCCTGACGAGGTAGAAGACTCCGGGACCCATCACCTTCTCATCCGGGTGCAGCCACCCCCGGGTGGGCTTGTTGACGAAGCTGCCATGTCGTGTCCACTCGTCTCCAGCCAGTTGTCCTCCTTCCACCCGGGACTTCCTCCCGCAACTCAGCTTGTTCATATCCTGAGAGAAAACAGTAAAAGTCCTCCCTAAGTCGAGGCTGTCACTGATGTCGGCCAGCTCCCCCGGGCTGCCCGAGTCCTTCCCTGCCCCGGAGGAGAAGCTGCGCAGGTTTAGTAAGTTCGCCGGGTTAGAGAGCTTCAGATTGGCCATTTTTGGGAAGAAGGAGCATAGGGTGGTAGGGCTGTCCTCCGACTCAGAGGACAGCTCAGCCAGGGGCAACATGGGGGCGAGAGAAGAGGAGGAGGACGAATTGGGCAAAGACTCGGCCAGCATGATATCCATGGATGAAACGGGCATCCCCGCGCCTAGAGCCTCTTCCACCGAGCTGACCGACTCGTTGCGCAAATGGTTATACTTGGTTTTGGGCAAGAGATCCATAATGCCCGTCGGCAACCTGCACTCTACAGAAAGCTGGGGTCCAGGTCTCATAGTCCGGTGACAAGAGAGTATCCAGGCAACCGTATGTCCCTTTAGCGGTAACTCGCCCCAACGTCAGATGCCCTTCTTCGTCCGATGGTGCCTCACATGGCGCTTCGCTCCCCAGAGAGAACCAGAGGACCCAAAGGGGACGTTCATTAATCCACAGATGTCAGGAGAGTGACAGCCACAGCGCCTTGGTGAAGCACGCGAAGAAAAGGCATTGCATTCACACCCCCTCAGCAATCGATGTATTCCATTAAAACGCCACCATGCTCTACCCTCCTCCCCGGACAGTGGTGGACTCGCCGAATCCCCTCCGACACACCCAGAGGAAGGAAACGGAGATACGGATGGGACCAGTGATGGCAGGAAGAAGATACAAGGGCCTGGCCAGGATGCAAGGACAACGGACGCGTGACTTC